GTATCCCTAGGTTTTCCGCCATGGAGGCCAGAGCCAGTCCTGTTGCGGGGATGTCTATAGTTCCAGGTTGAAAAGAAAAAGAAGGGGGGAAAAAAGAGAGTAGGGTAGTGTCCGATCTCAGGGGGCTCGGTACCTGTAGGTTCGTCGAGGGGAAACCAGGTCCAGACATACGGTAATGGTGGTCTCGTGTAGCACGCTGACCGCATCAGGCCAGCCGGCCTATCAGCGATGCATGGGTTGATGCGCTCTCGATGCAGGATGGTTTAGGCCCGCGGGGAGCCCTCCCTTGATTGGCCCGGGGTGTTGGAGTATCGACGCTCCGGAGGAGTAGATGAGGGAGCCGGAGAGTGCCCATCTGGGAACCGGAAGGCTTAGTACCAATCTGGGAGGTCTACTAGCGGGAGACGTAGCTGGTCGCAGAAGCGTTGCAGGTCTGCCGGGACCGTGAGAAGGTATGTGCGGCCGGATGTGGGTGGCCGCTAGGCCAAACGGGAACCGTCATCTGTACGGAATGTTGCGGGAACGTAGTAAATGTAGCAGGGGGCGCAGAGCTCTCCTGTGTTGTAGGGTGATGTGCGAGAGGTCTTGGAACAACTGGATCTCTGCATTCTGGAACAGGAGCCGCTGCCTGCTCCTGGAGCAACGAAGAATTTCCTCTTTGAGCCGAAAGTCGATTAGACAGCAAATCACATCTCGCGGCGGGTCTGCTTCGCCCCCTTTAGGCCTCAGAGCCCGATGGAACCGTTCCATGGGGACCGGCGAGTCCGGTGGGCGGTCAAGCAGATCATTAAAAATGTGTAGTAAGGCTGGTTCCAATTGCGAGGCCTTGATTGTTTCCGGAATGCCTCTTACCCTCAGGTTATGTCGGCGGCCCCTATTGTCGAGATCCTCCCATGCAATTCCCAAGCATTTCCATAAGTCGGGCGTGGTGGAGGGTAGTCTTGCGTTGGACCTGCCGAACAGCAGAGGAGTTGCGGGCGGTCTCATGTTCCATCGTCTGGATGCGATCCGTCAGGGTGTGTATGTCGGCCTTCAGCTCCGATATTGCCACCGATTGCGTGGATTTAATGTCCAGAGCTATGGAGGTGAGATCCGACATTCGGGGCATCCGGCCCATCATTGTGAGCAGGTCGGGATGCAAGTGGGGTGGGTCTCCCAATGGGTCTCTCCTCGGGCTGCTGGGAGATGGCGCTGTGTCCTCCACGTGGCGTCCCGACGGTTGAGATCGGAACATGTCTGGAAGGTTACGGCCAAGTTGTGTTCTCGAATCGAGGGGTTTTGGTCGCCTGAGTGGTTTTACCAGTTCTCCTCATGATGAGGATGGTGGAAGCTCAGTAGGTATCAGAAAAGTAGCTTAATAAGAGGGGCCCAGGTGTCGGAGGGTAGAGACTAGACATTCATCTTGGAAGAGAGAACACAAGATAGGATAGGCCACACTTTTCTATAGTCTCTGCTCCTTAAGCAAATATAGAAGCATGATGACTTCCTAAGAGGGAGGTGTGAAAAGCCAATGATCTCTGGGCTGTTAAATTTGCAAAAGCCAATGGTAAATAAATGGTCATTTGATCCCAGATAATGCACTGCACCAGCACAGAAGTTAACAGAATTTCTGCAAAAGTCATTAGACACAGATAGGTTTGCAATCGTACACACATCAGGGATCTCAAGTCTCCCTGATGTTCAGGGAGTCTCCCTCTTTTAGATCAGACATGCCAACCTGCAAAACCTTATTTCAGGGAGGTTCCCATCTTGTGTCAGACATCTTGTCTGACATGCATTTTTTTTAAACCATGCATATGAGTGAAAACTGACACAGCACCTGGGAAACAGTACATCTGACTCCATGCCAACAACAGGAAGTGATAAAAAATCCCCCAATGGGGAGACAGACAGCAATTAAAACCTGACATAAGTTCTAACCCATTCACACCCTATCCAAACAAGAAAAGCAAGTTTTGATTGGATAACCATGTTAATTTGTCACAAAACCCAAAGCCAGCCTACCAAGAGCATGGCACTTTGCTTCAAATCCAATAGCTACTATTTCATTTTTATGTGTAGATTAAATTGTGTTTCTTCACATTATTCATAGGGCTTGTTAGACTGTCATCAGTGAAAGGCTTATTTGATAATTTCTAATGTAAGATTTGTTTAAGAGGCAGCACTAGCTTTATGTCGTCAGTACAATATATAAGGCGTAATCCCAGGCATTGAAAATCTGCAGATCCGTTGCCGACTCCCAACAAGACAGTTCCAAGTAACCTAATGGGACATAGCACACAGCAACATACTGTACGTAGGCAGCAAAAACAATCAGCGTGACATCCTGTGCGCAGTCTGACAAAGATGCACAATTTACTTAGCATCAAGTTGGGATTCCGAAATCGACATCACTTTGTAGGTTCCAAGACAGACAAGACAGCCCATCAGCATCATTACCCCACAAGACCCAGAGGCAAGTCTAAGTCAAGAAACACAGCTGCCTTAAGAATCTGCCAGGGAGCCAGATGCTGGAAAACATACACTCCTCAGATTAGCATCTGTGTTCTTAATTGTCATAGAAAAGCAACACAGGCAGAGAACAAGACAGAAAACTGCAAACTAAGCACATTTTTTGAGATGTAAGATGAATAAAGAAAAAAGTAAAACACATATTGCAAGCTGTTTGGCCTCTATGGTCCTTTGCCAGTTGACTAATGTTTAAAGCAGAACTTCAGGGAAAATATTTTTAACCCTTGCAATGGGGCTACCCCCGCACTGCAAGGGTTAACTTCTTATTTGTGTTTAGGAAGGAACATAAAAAAAGTTATACTCACCAGATCCTTGGAACCAAATTGCTCTCAGGCTGGCCCTTCCAGCCTTTCTCCCCCTCCGCTGCAGCGGTCTAAGATTCCTCGAATTATCACATCCAATACACAGTGTACGTGAGGATGCTTAGGGACATACATAAGGCGGGATGGAGCGCTGTAACAGCCTGCTGGCTCAGAGGTTCTAGTGCGTATAACTTTTTAATATTAATCCCTAGACAAAAACAAGCAGTTAACCTTTGCAGTGGGGGGCTAAAAATATTCTTCTTTAAAAGGTAACTCTAGTTTTGTTAAGACTTGCAGATTGTTTCCTGCTTGTAGATACTGTAGATTCTGTAGATACTGAGACTGGCAATGCCAACGTAGCAATGGCAGTATCTGAGTATTATAATTACAACATCATTACTGGTGGTGTAATAAACATTGAATTTTTCCATGGTCCTTTTCACAGCTGTATGAAAAATAATAATGATAATATTAGCAAAAAAAACAAATATTCCTCACCTTTCACCCTGTCTTTGGCGAGCTTGCCTTGGGAAAGGTGACATCACTTGGCCTCTCCCAGGATCCCAGGGAAGCTAAAGATTCCAAGGGGGTTATTCACTCGGCTGCCTTTGGCAGCCGAGTGAATAACCGAGCCGTAATGAAGCCAGCTGAGAGATGTTTGGCTATTCACTTTGGCTCAGTACGGCTGATTTCAGCCATACATCGGCTGCCTTCGGTCAGCCGAACATTTTCTGCATATTCGGCTGGGCCAAAGCTCCGGCAGCTCCCGCGCTGCCGTTCGCCCCCTATTTACATAGGGGTCGAATGGCAGTGAGTGAATAGCCGAATGCTGCCGAGCGTCATTCGGCTCTGCTATTCTGCTTGGTACCTCCATGGTACCGAGCAGAATAGCAAATCAATGAAAATAGTAAAAAAAAAAAATTGTTAAAAAAATTATTTCAAAAATGTAAATAAATATTAGATTTAAAAGAAAAAAAGCATTAAAAAAAAATTGGGAGCTGCTAGCAATGACAGCTAGCTCCACCCAACTGTTTTCTAATGGCCGGCACCTGCTAGAGTCTTCTAGCAGGTCTCAGGTCAATGAATAACAACTAGGCGGAGCTTGCCGTGACATCAAAGCCGGCTCTGCACAGTTGTCATTGTTTAATGACAGTTCAGAATCCCCAGGTCATTTGGGGACGCTGATCTCTCAGCACACCTGGGTGGCGCCAGCCGTGAGATCACGGATGGCTCCTTCCAGCTGTCATTTGCGAGGTGTTCGCACTGCTTCAACTGCCACTTTGGCTCAATCAAGCCAGAGCATATGCCTTCGGCTCGGCTGAGCCGCTCGGCCGCCTTTGGGTGCTGTATGGCCTATAGTGAATAGGCCATACAGCAGCCCTTCAGTTTGACTGAACCGAAGGGCTCCCGTAACCGAAGCTAGCTGAAGTTTCAGCCGAAGCTAGGGCTGGATCCTTCGGCAGCTTTGTGAATAGACCCTCAAGTCTTCCTGATGCACTTCTCGCATGGTTTGGGCTCCTCAGCATCCCCAGAATTCTAAAAACATAGTCGGTGACAACAACACCCACCTGCAGACCATTAGCTGAGATAAAAGGCTCGCTCCCATGATGGACAACAATCTCAATACAAATGAGTAAATTAAACCTGAGACTGTAGTACATCACAGGAGTGACCTTGGAATGGTGACTACTTTACAACACACACAGGGACCATGGGGAACATAAGTAGTCACCCTCCAGAAAGAAGGACAGTGTCAGCATCAATTCAGAGATGATTTGAGGATCCACAGCCGAGTGATACACAAATAAGATACATTTTTGTTAGTAGTTAAGGTACTTGAATGCGTTTTTAAGGTTTAACTCCTGAGTTTAGCGTCACTTTAAGTATCTCACTAAAAATGTTAGTGCAGTAATTCTAAGGACAGTGCAGGAGATGCCTCATATTTTACCACCAGCTCTGTGTAGACTTCGGGAAAAGCAGTGAACCAATAAAGAAAAAATGTGAATGAAAATTCTGGGGAATAGTGTGTACAAACTGCACTGGTGTCAGCACTGAAAGAAAGTACATTTTGATTTTTGGCAGTGTTTAGGTCAGAAAGGTATTTAAATGGTTGATTAATGTTATACTGATGTCTGTTCATACAATGCTGTTTCTTTAATAGTTTAATAGTATATAACACTTTCTCACCTGCTGCCAAAGTCTTCCCAAATCCAGGGTCACTAGTCACACAGCCCACCTTATTGCACAGAGTGATAGTGAAGACATATTTCACATAAGGCTCCAGTCCCGAGACTTCATAAAAAAATTCATTGCTCTCAGCAACATAGATCACCTGGAGGAATAAAAACATGTATATTTGGAATTGCCTGATACACCAGAATATGAAATGGAACATTTAAGTCATGCTTAAAGAGAATCTGACACTTTGTCCATTAAAGATAAAGTGGCAGGTTCTCTTAACAACCCACAGCCCCCCACCTACTAATACTTGCGTTCGCTGTGCTCCCCTGCCACTCCATTCGCCTATTGTAGCGAACATGCTTAAAGTGTGGTAAAATGCATGTTAGGGAGCATTGTTAGTGTTAGGGTTACTAAGACGAGTTTATTTTAGGGATACAGGAAGATATGTTGCATGTGTTTTAAATGGCAGTGATTGATTCACCACCAGTGAATGTTTGGTGAAAGCTACTGTCACTGCTTTTATAAATATGCCCCTTAGACTTAAGCTGGTCATTCACCAGTAGAGCTTCTTCAAACAGTTACGTTTTTTTGGTAGGGTTCTATAAAAAGAACAATACACACAAAGGGTTCCGTATAGTGCATACAGAATTGGATTGATAAATAGATGGTAGTAATTAGGGATGCACCGATACTCGTACTCGCCCAAATGCTCCGATATTTATCCCGATACCGGAACTTCCCGTATCAGGAAGCCGGGCAGCAAGTCATTACACAAGTTGGCTCAATGATGGCAAAATTGAATGCTCTGGCAAATTTTTTTTTTGAATTTCATACAAAGGTTCCAACAACCCTCTAACCCTGAAAGGCTAGCTTTAGGGTACAGCAAGAATGAATGTGAAGGTTAGTGTTAAGGTTACAGGGAGGGTTAGTATTAGTATTGTTGGTTATGTGTTTAGATAAAATACTGAGATCTTGAGGAATGCTGAATTAAGTTTTACATCAGAATACAGCATTATACATCGTATATAGTGAACTTCCTGTATATCATAGATATAAGCATGCATATAGAAAACTAGCATTGACTAGACTTGCACTACAGCACCATCTATAGCTCAAAAGACATAACAGTACATCAGAATGTCAGTAATACAATCAGTGCATATTAGCATATGTTGTTGCATTTCCAACAAGTATTACAGGGAGGGTTAGTGTTGGGGTTATAGAGAGGGTTAGTGTTAGGGTTAATCTTAAGCTGGCCTTACACTAGTTGATTTTCAAAGGAACGTTCATACAAAAGATATTTCTTTACCACCCAAAAATGCCATCAGACACTTGACAAATGTCAATCGAAATTTAATTTGATTTCAGTGTTCGATTTTGGAATAAATGGAATTTCCCACATGGAAACCACATTCAGTGTTAGAATTACGTTTGTTCGAGAAAAGCTTTCGATCCTGCTCCTTCAACTTTTTTCATCACTGTGGTCGAAATCGATTGTTAATTTAACCATACAAATGAATAGAAATATGAGCGAACGTTCTTTTGTACAAAAGTTCTTTTGAAAATCCAAGCAGCATATGGCCAGCTTTAGCGTTATAGGGAAGCTTAGTGTGAGGGTTGGTGTTGGGGTTATAGAGAGGGTTAGTGTGAAGATTAGTGTTGGGGTTACAGGGAGGGTTAGTGTTGGGGTTAGTGATAGGGGTATAGGGAGGGTTAGTGTTAGGGTAAGTGTTGTGATTATAGGGAGGGTTAGTGTAAGGGTTAGTGTTTGGTTTATAGGAAAGGTTAGTGTAAGGATTGGTGTTGTAGTTATAGGAAGGGTTAGTGTGAGGGTTAGTGTTGGGGTTATAGGGAGGGTTAGTGTGAGGGTTAGTTTTGGGGTTATAGGGAGGATTAGTGTGAGGGTAAATGTTGTGATTATAGGGAGGATAAGGGCTCAGTCACACTAGATGCAGTGCGTTCCGGCCCGAAACGCACTGCCTCGCATTGCGGCCAGCTCACTTTTTATTGGGGTAGGAGGGGGCGTGATGGGCCATTCAAGTGAATGGCACCGTAGCCACGCCCCCGGCCGCAATCCGATCCACCGCACGGGATCGCAAGGCACATTGTAGCATAGTGCGTGTAGCATTTTGATCGCACCGCACAGGTTCAGACCGCAGGCACGATGTGCCTTGCGATCCCGTGCAACGGATCGCATTGCGGCCGGAGGGTGTGGCTACGGCGCCATTCACTTGAATGGCCCATCATGCCTCCTCCTACCCCACTAAAAAGTGAGCCGGCCGCAATGTGAGTCAGTGCGTTCCGGCCAAAATCGGGCCGGAACGCACTGCATCTAATGTGACTGAGCCCTTAGTGTGAGGGTAAGTGTTGTGATTATAGGGAGGGTTAGTGTAAGGGTTAGTGTTTGGGTTATAGGAAAGGTTAGTTTAAGGATTGGTGTTGTAGTTATAGGGAGGGTTAGTGTGAGGGTTAGTGTTGGGGTTATAGGTGGGGTTAGTGTGAGGGTTAGTGTTGGGGTTATAGGTAGGGTTAGTGTGAGGGTTAGTGTTGGGGTTATAGGTAGGGTTAGTGTGAGGGTTAGTGTTGGGGTTATAGGAAAGGTTAGTGTAAGGCTTAGTGTTGGGGCTACAAGGAGGGTTACTGTTGGGGTTACAGGGAGGGTTAGTGTAAGGGTTAGTGTTACCTAGAGGGTTAGTCTGAGGGTTAGTGTTAGCATTGCAGGGAGGATACGTGTGAGGGTTAGTGCTAGGGTTAAAGGAAGGACTAGTGTTAGGGACAATGGGAGCATGAGTGTTAGTGTTAAAGTTAGGGTTAGTGCAATAGTTAGAAGAAGGTCTACTTTTAGTGTTAGGGATACAGGGAAGATTAGTGTTAGGATTAGTGTTACAGAAATGGTAGTGTTAGTGTGGGTTAGTTTGAGGGTTACAAGGAATATTAGTGTAAGGGTTACAAGGAAGGTTAATCTGAGAAGGACCTTAGGGTAATGCATTGCTCCCAGAGCTGAAAGCTTTTCTCCAAAATCGATCAGTGCACTAGCATTACGCAAAGCATTTGACTGTAGTATGTATTATTTGAAAAGCTGATTAAATTATTTTAGCATCACTCACTGATCCTTCAGCCATAAAAACATACCACTTCATCTGATAATCTGGCCTAAAATCTTCTCTTCAGTCTTCAGTGCTTTTACCTTTACTCTCTGTTAAGGCACACACTGTTTCTTGTTACTGTACACTGGAAGAAAACTCCTTTCGTTAATCTCTACCCCTTAGTCTTCTAGATAGTATTCTTGTATAGACTGAATTTTCTGCTGTATGTTAAAATCCACTGTATGTACTCGTTTAGATATTTATCTCTGCTTCTCCATTATTTACCTTTGAGTTTAACACTTACTTTGTATAGCGAGACAGGAAATATTAGCATTATGATCATTCATAATAATAATGGGAGATAAGGGAATAATGACAAATTATCTTTACTATCAGCTCTAAATGTGATCTTGTTTAATATGTTTGGATCGATCTACTTGTCTTCTGTAGTGCAGAACTTTGCTCAATGTAATGGACGTGATCATACCTCAGATGAACCTCTTCCTATATCTATTGCATCCACCAGGTTCCCGGACAGGTTGATTATATAGCCGGTTACTTCTCCTCTGGTTACGTCATTGGAAGGTCTTTCCCATGATACATTTAGAGAGTGAGATGACAGAGGAAACACAATGGGGGGTGCCATGAAAATAGGCTCTGTGAAAACAATGTTTCAGTAAAAAAAAACTAAATTAATTCAAGTATCAAACTACTTTATAATGTAAGACTTTCAATAGAAATAAAAAGCTAACTCATAAAATCAACAAATGAACACAGACTAGATTATTATTATTACTACTATAAAGGATTTATATAGCGCCAACAGTTTACCCAGCGCTTTAGGAAATGGAGGGAGACAGTACAGTTACAATACAATTATAATACAGGAGGGTAAAGAGGGCCCTGCTCGTGAGAGCTTACAATGTAGTAGGAGACAACTAGATTGCAAGCTCTTTCTCACTCTTACTCTTGCTCTTTTTACATCCATAAGCATGTAAAAGCTGGCACTCAAATAGGAATCTGTCCAAATAAAGCCTTTATTTCATCTTGGCATTAAAACAAGTCACAAAAAACACAGCTCAGAAATAGTTTTGTGAGCTGTATTTATGCCAAAATGAAATAAAAGCTTTATTTGGATGGATCCCTGTTTGAGTGCGTATTCAATAACTTGTGCCTTTTATAGAAAAGGTGATTCATCAGACCAGGCCACCTTCTTCCATTGCTCTATGGTCCAGTACTGATGCTCACATGCCCATTGTAGGCACTTTTGATGGTGAACAGGGGTCAGCCTGGGCACCCTGACCGGTCTGCAGCTATGCAATCCTATACACAACAAACTGTGATGCATTGTGTATTAAGGCACCTTTCTATCTGAACTTTTTCAGCAATTTGAGCTACAGTAGCTCTTCTATTGCATCAATGAGCCTTGGCTGCCCAAAACCCTGACGACGGTTCACCGGTTTTCCTCCCTTGGACCACTTTTGGTAGGCCCTAACCACTACAGACAGGGTCTATCCCACAAGAGATACAGTTTTGGAGTTGCTCTGAACCAGTCGTCTAGCCATCACAATTTGGCCCTTGTCAAAGTCTCTCAAATCCTTATGCTTGCCCATTTTTTTCTAATGCTGCCTAATGTATCCCTGCACTTCCAGGTGTCATTGTAATGAAATAATCAATGTTATTCACTTCTCCTCCCAGTGGTCATAATGTTATGACTGATCGGTGTATCTGCCTAGAGTTTAACTTAAAATGGTGTGTCAACATTCATATTTTAAAAATGCATGCTAACTCCCCCGAATGAGCAAAGTGGCATCTTCTCTTTAGGTTGACATTCGAAGAATGGCAGAGTTGTTTTGGTTTCTTTCTTTTTTAGGGCAACATTAACAGTTCACTGATTTCATTTACTTGGGAAACTATAAAAACAGAACTATTGATGCTAAAAACATATGAGACAAAAATGTAGACATTCTTACCAGATTCCTCGGTTTTTAATGTTACCCACTTGGAACCAACACTTCCAGCCATGTTGGTGGTCACAAGACAGAACTCATATTCTGTATTTGGCTCCAGGTTAGAGATAATGGCATTGGTAACTGGTGGCTGTAATGCATTCTCATTTTCAGATTCCAGCAGTGGCTGAGGGTTCAGCCACCCGCTGGCATGGAAGACACGCCTCTCCACGGTCTGGTGTATGCTCCTCATGTATAGTTCATGCCTTATGATGACTCCTATATAAAATATAGGGATTTATTGAGCAGCACAAATGATACATTTAGCAATATAAAAATGCATCATACAGTTGTGAGCTATATATAATATAAATTATGAGTTTACAAATGAAAGTCTGCTGCCTTAAAGAGGGCCTTTACCCTAGTTCACTAAAAATCACATCAATAAGGATGAAGCATCAATAAGTGTCTGCATGTTGATATAAAATCATCCTATATTCATTAGTTAAATAAATATATTTACTAGTTTTCCACTTCCTGGTCATCTTAGGCATTAGTGATGTATTATGCCTAAGAGTTCCATTCTGAGAAGGATACATCACCAATGCAATGCTAGGAAATTGCATCTGTAAAGATGCCAAGATCTAAGGGAGAGGTAATTTTCCTCTCAGATGATGTGCATGGTCACGTGTCCTATGTCCCATATGCCAGAGTTCCAGGAAATAAAGGGAGATGGATTAATCCGCCCTTAGTAAAAATTGTCACCGTAAGAAGAATGTGGAGGAAAAGAAAAATATGGTAGGCCAAGAATACAAAGCCGGCAATTATCTAGAAGTATGTGTTTGTAGATTGCAATTATTAAACATTTCTTAAGGTGCCTTTGTTGACATTTTAAAGATAAGGGTAAAGTTCCTCTTTAAAGTGAAGCTCCTGCTCTGTATAGAAAAAGATTCAGTCCAAGTAAACTACTTACATTGCGAGGAATTTTAGCACACTTTCACTGCAGATGTTTACCTGTTTCTATGCTGTAAATACTAGTGTAGGCCTTGGCATTTCACCTTTACTATAATTACATGATCAGTCTTAGTGTTCCATTAAGAAAAGCTGTGATCCAAACATCCCTTTATCTGTGTATGGACTGAAAGCTAAACTCCAGCTAACAGCTAAAAACACATATGAAATACTGTGCATAAAGTATATTGTTCTGTTTTGTATTGTTGTGAGTTGGGTTTTTTTTGTGCCAATGTTTTATATTTGTCCATCCAATCCTGGGATTTTCACAACTCAGCCCTGTCTGGCAGGGGAGATGAGGAATGGTATGTGTGGGGAATTTTATAAACAGAATACTATTGCTATGGTTGAAAAAATATCTTTTTAGTAAAGTTAGTTTTCAGAAAGTTTTTGCTGAGTACAGATTGAAATAGAAAAGAACATTTTTAATTACATAAAATTGTAAAATAACTCATCAGTTACAGTATGTATGTCATATGATTTTTTTATTAAATTGAGCTTTTATTTAACCACTTGAGCTCACCTGGATGGAGCGGATTAATTTCCATATTTTAACTATTGGTTTTATATGGGTCTATATGTTCCGAAGACAAAAGAGCATTAAAAAAATTCTAGTTTGACCAGAGTATTTGTAAACAGTATGTTGCTGTAGATTAAAAATGCTAATTTTATTCTGGAATTTTCTCTTTTAAAATGAAACCAAAATTTCATATTATCTACAAAACATAGTCAAGTTTTTTTTTTAGAGACATTTTGTATATTTTTGTGACACTACAAAAAGAATAAAACAGATAAGAATGGAGGAAAAAAGTTTACATATAAATAGGAAAATAAAAACCAAAACAGCAAAACAAGATACCCATGAGAAAAATGAGAAATAGGGGTTAAAGTGGCTCTACACTCAGGAGTTAAATCCTAAAAATCCAAAAAATACATTCAAGCACCTTAACTATTAACAAAAATGTACCTTATTTGAGTATCACCACCTGTGTTCTTCCTTCTGGAGGGTGGCTTACTTTTCTTCACCATAGTCCCTGTGTGTGTTGTGAGTCACCACTCCAAGATTGCTCCTATGATAGACTATATTTCAATACAATTAAGTAAAATAAACATGAGATTGTAGTCCCTTAAGGTAGCAAGCTTGGAGTGGTGGCTACTTTACAACACACACAGGGACCATGGGGAACAAAAGTAGCCCCCCTCCAGAAGGAAGGACAGTGTCAGCACCAATTCAGAGATGATTTGAGGATCTACAGTTGAGTGATGAACTAAAAAGCTTTATTTTTGTTAGTAGTTAAGGTACTTGAATGCATTTTGAAGATTTAACTCTTGACCCCTTAGTTTAGTAAGGGCTGATAAAACCTGATGAAGCTTAATAAGGGGTTATATAGAAATAGTTGACTACAGCATACAAAGACATTTTAGACAATTGTGCTCTACAGATCTTGTGGCAACAATTTGGTGAAGGCCCTTTTCTGTTCCAGCAAGACCGTGCTCCTGTGCATAAACCCAGCTCCATAAAGACATGGTTTGATGAATTTGATGTGAAGGAACTCGAGTGGTCTGCACAGAGCCTGATAAATACCTTTGGGGTGAATTGGAATGTTGATTATGAGCCAAGTCTTCTCAACCATCATAAAAACTTGACCTCACAAATACTCCTTTGGCTGGTTGAGCACAAACTCATATGAAATTGGTATAAGGGCCTCCATTCTTCTGGAAAGGCTTTTCAGAAGATTTTCAGAACTGTAAGTCTGTAAGACTTGAACATCTTCTGAAAAGCCTTTCCAGAAGAATGGAGGCCCTTATACCAATTTCATATGAATGCCCACATTTGTGAAATTATTGTGCTCATGTGCTCAAAATCATTTGGCCATATAGGTTAAAAGAGAACTATGGGGTAAGCGTTTTTCCCCATCGCTTTCTTTAGGGGTCACAGGAGGACATATACTAACCTCCTCCTGTGTCCTAAAGCTCAGTATATAGCAGGCTATTGCCCGCCACAGCCAGGATGGATCCCGACAAGATTGTCTGGATCCACCCAGCTGGGTGAGGGACAGCTGGCTCTGCCTATCTAGAAGCAGAGCCAGCTGTGCCCACCCCCTCCCTGTACGTTCCTCCACTCAGCGCTGGAGGAGAGGGGGGGAATCGCTGCTGAGAGCTGTGTTTGACAGTCACTGCTCTCTGCACGGAGATGATCGGGAAGTGAGCGAGCGACGGTATGTTTTTTTGCCCACTTCCCCGATCAATAGAGCTGACCTGTGACAGCTTCTTTGTGACACGTCGGCTCGAACTATGAGGATGAGTGGAAATCACTCACCTCATAGTTCTCCTTTAAGTACAATCACCTCACAGAAACTGCAGGCAGTAAACATGGAGCTTTGTGCCATATGAACAAGTTTCAATTACACTTCTAGTGTTGCCATGCTAATGTGGGCGTTATATCACATCCTTTTTTTCTTCTCTTTTTGCATAAGGAACTGATTAACAAGATGAAATGCATTATATGATATTATTTTCCTGTGTCATCAGTAACTATTTTGGAAGTGTAGATTATCTGTCCTAAAACCATCCTAATTAGCATTGATCCTGACACTAAAAATAATTGTCCTTGACAATCAGACAGTAGAGAAAATATCATTATAAAGCTTTTCTTATGCTGAAAGGTGTAGCGGAAACAAGGGGGAGAAAGAATGTACCCAAGAGCTGCAGAAATTATACGTTTACAATATAAGTCACCAGAGAATCATTTATCCAAAATTAATTTGGACTTTTTCTATTATCAGTGTAAAATCAGTGCCCTGACTCATTATCACTAATTACATAGACTATATGAGATGCATAGGTCATTTTTTTTGCTTTTGTTTCTTGGTACTCTATTCTGAAGGCTTTTGAAGCAGATTTTTGTCTTTTGGGAGACCACATTTAGAATGACTTGTGGTTTATTAATTTATCACCCCTGGCTACCTTTTCAGGAGTATTCCCTGTTATATGAGATTTTGATATGGAAAAATCACATGTAGGTGGTTTGTGGCCATTACTGGCAATCTCTACACTGCAAGCTGTAAGAGTAGATTGAGATGAGACTATGTCATTTTCTTCTCCTTTCTCCTTTACAGTATACTAACTTAAATTGAATACAGTTCACAATAATACAAGGAATACAGATACCCTGCTATCTACCTTTCAGCTCCCTGGTGGCTCTTTACTACTCCCTTGGAACCCTTGCACATTATTTGTTCCCTTTTCCTTTCCAGCCTTCTCCTCCCTGTTCTCTGGTCATGCCTGTAGTTATGTAGCCCAACAATTTTTTCGATTACTTATTCAACAAGTAAAGTGAAACTTTGTCTAAAACTTTTTTTAGTTGTGGCGAGAGTAGGTAAAGGTTATAAGCTTTAGGTTTGTATTGCGGTTTCTTTTATTTCTATAAATATTTCCCTTACTTCCTATATGGTCCATAAGGGTTCCCATACAGAATATGTCTATGTTATATTTTAGATAAAATAAAAATTTTCATACTTCACAACACAAGTGAAATATTTAATTATAGATATCTGCTCCAAGAACTGCAGAATGAGAAGATCCCTCTATGAGAGACCTGATCTGATAATGGACCTCAAGTAATACTTTTAATGGGTTTCTAAACTATTTTAAAGCTTAACACTAATCAAAACTGTTTTTATGTTTGGATATACTTGGGAAAAGTAAATATTTATGCCATATTTCTGTTGCTGTCCATTGTGTTCATCTGACTGCTTTTGACAAGCTGGACATTAATGAGAGGAGGAGTTATCAATGGGGCAGGAAGTTTAATACAGTAGTTATAATCTGACAGAGGTTCTACCCCTTCCACATTTTACTGAACAATTGTGTTTTGTTGCTGTCTGTGTATATATATTTCCAATAATTTTCTGTCCCAACAGGAAGTAAGAAGAAATATCCTCAATAGGGACACTGATCGCAATAAACACCTGACATGGATTCTATTCCTTCCTCACTATGTCAAAGTTAAAAAAAAATTTTTTTTTACTGGAGTTGGGTTTCAAATATATCTACACTTAATATATCTCCTTTTTTTCTTTTTCAATATATCTCCGTTATAACATTGACCTACTTTTAGTATGTGGCACATTTCCAACCACTAAGACAATCTAATTCAATCAACAAATACAAGTGCAAGATGCTTACCATTCGGTTGCAGTGGTGGTGACCACTGTAAATAAAGTTCTGTTGAGCCTGCATTATTGACAACTGGTGGTGTCTGACCAACAGGTGGTGCTTGAGCTGTTACCAGTGTCAGCAGTGAACTTTGTAGACATCCCTCGGAGTTACATGCTTGAACTGAAAAATTGTATCTGGTGAAGGGTGTTAAATTATGAATTGTCACTTTGGTGTCAAGTCCTTGGTAGGCAACAGTAACTTCAGATGAACCTGTTGATGTGTACATCAGTCTGAAGATGTCAATAGGTCCAGAGTTATATTGGGTAATTGTCCAGTTTAGAGAGACAGAGTAGTGACCCACAGGGTAACTAAGGTCCAAGTCTATCTCACCCGATGGTGCTCCAGCTCTTGTTCGAAACACAACCTTGGTACTGTGAATAGCACCGCGCACATTCCTGGCATCAACATAGTATGTGTATGTGGTATAAGGCAACAAATGTTCATCTGTGTAGCTTTGTGGACCTAGCACAAGAACAAAAATATAAAGAGACTACAAAAAAGTATTTTTTAAAGGTTTAAACTGTATAAGCATGCTATATTATCACTAAAACAAGATCTGATATTTGAACCACTAAACATATAGGTTGAGTAATACAATGGGGCCATTGAAATATGCATAATTACATATTCGAAATGTTATAAATGTATTTTGTCATAACAGCCACAGTCTTACAGGAAGTTGTTTGCTTGTGGTTATATCTTGCTTTATATAGCAAATGTGTCTATTTGATATTAAAACTAACATTATAGTCCGATGATTACATAGGTATAGGAGGAAATATATTGAGAATGTGTTAAAGTGTGATTTCTGGTGGCAAAGGACTTAACAAAGTTCTTAAGGGTTACTGAAGCTCCTGGATCCATTTTTGGTTCTTGTGCCAAGAAATGGTCTCTCGTTAGACTCATCATTTTACTTTTTTCATAAAAAGAAAACACAAGCAGATAAAAAAGTAAAAAAAAAAATGCAACACAGTAGAACACAAATAATCATATACACAAAAAAAAACAAACACAAAGAAAATTAAATTAAATAAACTAAATTACTCTAAAAATACACACCACCCAAACAATAACAGTGTTTTTTAAGGTGCAACGGGCTTTTTATGGCGGCTGGGAGTGACAGAAGAGCCTTTAATCTAACTTGAACCTGTTCTTGTGCAAAAAACGGACCCTCATTAGCCTCATTATTCTACCTTTTTTTTATTTTTTTACAGAAAATGGAAAACAAAATGGAATTAAATATTTAAAGTGACAGAACTGAAATAATGATCAAATACACACAAAAAAAACACATAAGAAAAACAGTAAATTAAATAAAGTAAAGTACCCTAAATAAACCCCCCAAAAAATCCTTTAAATAAATAATTTTTTTAAGCAAATCCCACATAAACATTCCAATGAGGAAACATGCAGAGGTCTAACTTCAGAGCAAGTCAATATCGAAATCAGTTTCAGCTAAACCACTCCAATCATCTCTACTCTGTAGTAGACATTAACATTTTGTTTCATTCCAAATGGATATTTGTAGAAATTTCGATAAATCAGGACATTCGGATGCATCCGAATTTCCGAATTCTGATGCGCCCTAATGTGAACAAATCCAAATGCTCTTTAATGAAAATTTGTATCCGTCCGAATCTTGTTCAAAACAAAACTAAATTGGACATGTGACTGTTCTCTGGCCGATCAGATGGGTGTTGATGGGGGTTGCATTACATGCACGGTCATGTGACTTTATTCCAAAATGAGAATTCAGACGGATCTGAAATCCGAATACTGAACCAGATAATTTTTCGGATCCCGAAACCCGAAAAGTGTAAGAAATTAAACTCTAAATTGATTGAAAATGAATCAAATTTTTTTGCAAGGTTACATGTCTACTCTGTATGACCTAAACTAGTATTTAAAGCTGAACTCCAAAAATCAATACAGCTCTGTATTCATTAAATCTTAATCCTTGCAGTGGGGTGACTCGTTTTGCCTAGGGAGCTAAAATAACAGAGAAACACTCAGCCGAACTGCCATCCCGGCTACGTTCTAGACCAGTTCCTACAACCTGTCTCCTCCTATGCTCCAGTGATAAAATGTCACTTGGAATCCTCATGCCCAATACACTGTATAGGACATGATGACTCACAGGGCCTTAGACCACTGGAGCGGAGGTGGAGAGAGGCTCCAGGGACAGTCTATGAGCCAGCCAGGATAAGGGTTCTGGTGGGTATATCTCTGCTATTTTAGCTCCCTAGACAAAATGAGCACTTAACCCTTGCAGTTCTTTGTCAGCAAATTCAGCCTCTGTATATGTATTTCACCTGTGAATGCAATTGCTTGCCTGGAGTTCAGCTTTAATGGGGTAATACCCAGGAAAGCATCATCCGACATGAAAAGAATGTCATAAAACTGAATGCAATGGCACAGTACCAAAAGACTAGAACACCTACTTAAAATGAGCCAGCAAACAGCTATTCCGGTCAAATTTTGTAAAAGCTTGTAAGCAGATTAACAGCTCACCTTCCTAACCTCCTCTACCACTCTATTTAGATTAATTAAATTAACAAGTAAAGCTAGATTTATATCTGAAATCTGTTTCCGTTTAAGTAGAAAGCTTTACCCAGTGGTTAAAGAGCATTATTTTCATTACATTTGATACCATTTATCAATCTATACACTTAACAGGATTTGCTTTTGGCAATACCTCTGCCCCTCTCTCTGCCTTTCTTTTACTCTTCTGTCCATATTGTTCCATTTTCAACAACAATCCAACGATTGTCCAGTTCTCCCATATACAAAAGTTAAAGAAGAAGAATTCCAGACTAAACCAAAACATTTCTTTAAAGTGTATCTTAATCAAAAAACAACAATGTCATATATTGCAGCTTAACGATCCTTAGATGTGCTGGCCGCATTAGTAGATCCTGCCAATAACTAGACATGTGCGATTCGTTTCGTTCTGAATCAAAATTTATACAAATTCATCCAAATTTCCGAATCCCAATGCATCCGAATGTGTCCGAATCCGAATTTCCGTTTCCGAATTTCGTATCCCATCTGAATTTCGTTCAAAAACTAAACTGAATCATACATGTGACTTTTCTGGCCAATCAGATGTGTTTTTCAGTTTAAAGCATCCGAATGGGTCTGAACACGAATTTTCGTTATGTCAACACGGGAGCCATATACAGTATATACATATAATACTAAAGCTGAGGCTCCCGGACCCGAATGGCATTCAGGATCCGAATTTCCTAATTGCATTCGGAAGCTCCCAAATGCCATTCAGGTCTGTTCCCTGTTTCCTGTCCAAGTCCTGTTTGAATCTGGTCGGTGGCTATGAAAAATTTGTAAGTACTGGCTTTTTAAAGTGAGTTAAATCTTAAATGCATTCAACTACCCTAACTAATAAAAAAATGATCTTACTTGTGTATCACCCGGCTGTGGATCCTCAAATCTTCTCTGAATTGGTGCTGACACTGTCCTTCCTTCTGGAGGGAGGCTTCTTTTGTTCCCCATGATCCCTGTGTGTTATTGTACAGTAACCACCACTCCAAGCTCACTCCTGTGATGGACTTTAATACAATACAAATGAGTAAACTAAATGTGAGATTGTAGTCCATCATAGGAGCGATCTCTAGGATTCGTGGCTACTTTACAACACACACAGGGACCATGGGGAACAAAAGTAGCCACCCTCCAGAAGGAAGGACAGTGTCAGCACCATCTCAGAGATGATTTGAGGATCTACAGCCGAGTGATACACAAATAAGATACACTTTTGTTAATAGTTAAGGAGCTTGAATGCATTTTTAAGATGTAACTCCTGAGTTTATTGTCACTTTGTTATATATGGTTGTCTGTATGTGAGAGAAAGCAATAGAGGGTGTGCAAGCAACACCAGAAGGAGCATTCTAGGATCAACCAATTACTGTCAAAGTGAGTGGGGTGAACCAATGCAGTACAGCAACGCTTGAGTGGAAAGCTCTGAACAGGTAGGCTTTAAGTGTACAGCACATGCAGAACTTGTTGCTGACAATTAGACATGTGAACCAGCAAAAAATTTGTTTAGTTTCCTTTTGATTCGGATTTTGCTTTATTTCGTTTTTCGGAATTCGGGTCCAAAAGTCAATTGACTTTCGGAATTCGGACGAAATTCGTTAGCGGAAATCAGTACGAAATTTTGTTTCGTTGTCGTTTTGTTCGTTCGTTGCAGCAAAGTGACATTTAAGAGGGAAATGTTTTTTGTTCTCAAATGTCACTTTGCTGCACCGAAATTTCGTCCAAAAAAAACGAATCGGAAATTCGGAATCGGAAATTTGGATTAGTTTGCATTCGTTATATCTGTAATTTGGAATTCGGATACATCCGAATCTCCGAAATTTCATCCGAATTTCGATTCGGAACTAAACTAATCGCACATGTCTACTGACAATAAGGAAAGAAAAATACTCACTATATGGATAATAGTCAGCAGTGTGATAGATCCCCAGATCATCTCTGTAAAGCACGTAGTGAATGTGATCACCATTGGGGGAATCTGGTGGATTCCATGTAAGGATAATTGTGGTGCTGTTGAGGATTTGTCCTCTTGGAGGAGGCTGCTGAGATGGAGCTGCACAAGAATGAATCACAAAAATCAATAAAATGATAAAATATTCCATTGTTTAACAATGCTACAAAAGAAAATATATACACATACAGTACTGTGCAAAATACTTTTGGTATTTTGGCATTTTGGGTAGTTAATTCCCAAGAAGTAAAGTACAGCAAAATATTTGGATTAAAGTGTACGTGAAGTCAATTTATTTTTATTTTTTTGGTGTTAGATAGGGAAGGGTTAAGGCTCCAGTCAGTTTTTTTTTCTGCATGTGTCCCATTGGGAAGAATTCCCATCAATTCCTGTGCCAGGGACACAGCAAGCAAGAGGAGATCTCTTAAAGAGGAACTTTACCCAAATCTTTAAAATAACAAATACACCTTTAGAAATGTATAGTAATGACAATCTATATACAGATACTTCTAAATAATTGCAGTGTTTTACTCCTCACCCAGGTTTCTGAATGGCCGGGAAACTGACCAATCAGGAAGCCAGGTAGCGAGTCATTACCCTCCCCCCGGCTTCCTGATTGGCCAGAAAGCCCGCTCAATGCTTTGCTGTCACCTGTTGATGAGGGAGCATGGAGACAGCTTCCCGGCTACAGTAGAAAGGCATCATGGCACACTCACAAACCAGCATGTAAAACAACTTGTCTCAACACTAAGGACAATGACAGAGGTTTGGATACACGTCTTCTGCAAAGGATGTGTAAGCCGCACTGCCGCGCCAAGGCACCTCTTATAGTGCGACGCATGGGGTTTCTCAGCTGCCAATGGGATGTGCGGGATCCCTTGTGTGTCTCTGTACCTTTAAGGAGGTGGGGCGTCCTCCTGACAGGCCTGCACCCAATTTGATATCTTCTGCCCCCATGTGCTCCAAGATGGAGACTCTCATAGTTTAGAGTTAGGACCGCACTATAAGAGGTGCCTTGGCGCGGCAGTGCGGCTTACACATCCTTGGCAGAAGACGTGTATCCAAACCTCTGTCATTGTCCTTAGTGGTGAGACAAGTTGTTTTACATGCTGGTTTGTGAGTGTGCCATGATGCCTTTCTACTGTTCTACTGTTCAAAGCCCATTTCGTGTGCACCTTACTGTATAACTGGTAACAAATTGTTGAGTGCGTTTGTCGTTTGTTTAGCTTCCCGGCTAATCGCAAAGTCAGGCGACGAGTCATTACATGCCGCCCGGCTTCTTTGATAGGACTTCCGGTATCAGTTTTCAGTATCAGCGAGTACCAAAAAAAAAACATATTGGTACTCGTACTTGATACTGAAATAATGGTATTGGTTGATCCCTACCCTCCAAAAAGGAAGGACAGTATCAGCACTAATTCAAAGATGATTTAAAGGAGAGCCATGAGGTGAGTGATTTCCACTCATCCTCATAGTTAGAGCCAACCTGTGACAAATCCCTGCATGGATTCCCCGCTCCAATCCTCCAGCGTTGAGTGGAGTAACGAACGGGGGAGGGTGCGGGTACAGGTGGCTCTGCCTCTAGATAGGCAGAGCCAGCTGTCAATCAGCCAGCTGGGTGGATCAGGACAGTATTGCCGGGATCCATCCCGGCTGCGGCGCTCTCAGTATATCTCAGGTAATAGCCAGCTATATACTGAGGTTTGGGTCCCGGGAGGAGGTTAGTATATGTCCTCCTATGACCCTAAAGAGAACTATAGGGAAAAACACTTACCCCATAGTTCTCTTTTAAGGATTTACAGCTGAGTGATGTACAAATAAGGTACAGAATTGTTAATAGTTAGGATACTTGAATGCATTATTAAAATGCATTCCCTGAGTTTAGTGTCACTTTAACTTTGCATTTTCTTTTCCAATTTTGATCACATTAAAAAAACAGGACTTCATTCTGTTCACACTCAATATAACACAGACAATGAAGCAGAAGCGCTTACTTACTTGCACTGCATCCATATGGGTTATTCACATCCATGTTGCTTGCACCTTCTATACATTCATCACAAGTGATGCCTCTTACAAACTGCTTGCAAAAACACTGACCACTTATAGAGTGGCAGCTACCATTAACTGCCCCAGCAGTATTGCATGAGCATGGCTGACACCTATAATAGAAAGATAAAGAGGCTTAAAAGCAAAAGGCAGATAAAAGAAACTGAAAGACATATATTGCTATCCCTCGAATTTTAGAAAATTCCTTAATTACAAACTGCAACAAACTTTTTTTGTTATAGTGTAAATATAATTGTTTTGTTTTTAGTTGGAATAGGTAGGACCATTTTTGAAAACCCTTCACTCCTGTCCCAGAAACACTGGGACTTAACACAGGATTTGAGGAGAGATCTCTCCAAGGGGGGTGGCAGATGTCACCATTGGAAGATTTCCTGGGTTCAAACCCTACTATCTGTAAGGAGTTTGCACGCTCTCCCTGTGCTTGCGTGGGTTTCCTCCAGGTACTCTGGTTTCCTTCCACACTCCAAAGACATGCTGGAAGGCTACTTGGCTCCTATCTAAATCGGTCCTGGTATGTGTGTGCATGTGAGCAAGGGACCTTAGATTGTAAGCTCCTCAAAGGCAAGGACTGATGTGAATGTGCACTGTAAAGAGCTACCTGAATTGTCAGCGCTATATAAATACCTGTAATAAATAAAAGTGCTGTGTTTAAAATGTTACAAGAACCAATAAAGAAGGTGAGTCTTCCCAGAGGGAAGACAGACAAACATAAAAGACCGAACAGCTGTTTTACCTCAGTTTAAAACAAAACAAAAAAAAGTAATGGTTTTACATATTGTACACTTTACTCATTGTTAACCCCCCTCTAATGTATTTATTGATAAGTACATATTTTCTGTTATTATTGTAAGGATTGTCTGAATGTAATTTTTGATTTTACTACATGAACAGCTGTCTGACTCTGGACACCCTGGCAGATCAAGTGAGCGTTTCGAAATCATGTTCTTGCACCCCTATGCACACACATGCAGTCACACAGATGGACACAGCCATGCTAAGTGGTCATTCTCTGGCATGTAGCTATTTACAAGAGATCAGTGAAAAAATATGTTCATAGTTCATACTGAGTAATTTGGAATACAAGGAGTTTCTAACAAGTTCCTAAAAAAACACAAATATATTTAAAGCATTTGCAAATAGAACAAATACAAAATAAACAACCCCATTTGCCATATTTAATGCTTAACACATATTTAACATTAAAGTACATTTTTAATAGATATCATAATATATATACAGTAGATAGATAGATAGATAGATAGATAGATAGATAGATAGATAGATAGATAGATAGATAGATAGATAGATAGATAGATCTAAAAAGTATTATAGCTTGCCTTTAAATAAACAAAAATTACCAAATGATATTACATTTAACGCTTCCTTGTCATATAGAAACATAGTTAAGTAACATTATTAAATTAGTATATGTTTGCCTGTTTTTTAATTTTTTGAGTGGACATATTTTCTCTTCTCTAGCCATTTTTATAGAGTGAAATGTTCATTTAAGAAAGTCCTAACTATATATTTTAAATGCAGGATTACAACATACTGTATATGATAAATCAATATTTATCTCTTTTTGTAATAGTGTTAACACTAAAAGTTTTCTAACTTAAACTGCTGTATTTAAAAAAAATGTAAACATTTTTATTTTTGTCATTTTTTTATTTTTATGATTGTAAAAATTATTCGAAAATTGCAAATTACAAAAAAAAACATACATTTACAATTGTAGAATGAATCAAATTTAAATGATATATATATTTTTCTGCCATAACTGCTGATGTGAGGCAAGGGGCTGTAATCTGGCATGATATTACAACATGGGAATTTGTGCTTGGGTTTAGTAAACTGGTCCATAGGAAGACACATAGGAACATTTGGTTTTAGTAAATCAGGGTTAAGAAATTCCAGCAATAGGAGGGATCAATAATTCTGTGAATGATTGTACAGCCTTAAAGTGTAAGTAAAGTAAAAAAAAAATTGCTGGTAGGTAGGGAAGGTTTTGCAAAGTCTCCATTGACAATAAAATCTGCCTCTCGCCCCCAGCAATTTTTTTACATTCCTGTGTAGACTGTACGGCGCATACGCCATACAATGTACACACTCAGCCCATTCACGGCATCTCTAAGATGGCATTGATAGTCCTGATGCAGAGGAAGTTGTAACTTCAGTGCACATGTCAATCAAACAGCGCTGGAGAAGGCACACTTGTAAGGTAAGAAAACACACCCTTCACAGAGCAGTTTACTATAACTTTAATAAACTAATTCCCTTAGCATTGGTGCCCATGTAGCCAACACTTCAAGGTTGACTGACTGGAGATCAGTGAAGCACATCAGAAGGGAATTCTAGCTTTGGTGAATTTTGTATTGTGTATACTAGTATCCCTTTTAAATACTGTGTATCACAACTGATAATATCTGACTGAATTTCTATTGTCCTAGTGGTAATATAGGTTTGTTGAAAGGTTAGTATTTAGAATAGGGTCTCGATACAGGCCAACTGAGTATGCAAACAAGGGGTAACTTTTAGTTGTGTAGAGTATACATGGTTAGAATTTTGAACAAACAAAATCAATTTCGGAATGTTTGGTATAATTGTTGATGTGATCAAATCAATGATCGATTTCGACCACAGTGACGAAAAAATTTGAAGGAGCATGTTGGAAAATGTTTCTTGATTGAACAAAATTGTAACAGTGAATGTGGTTTTCATTCGGGAAATTCCATTCATTCCAAAATCGAATGTTAAATAAATACGAAAATCAAGGGGAATTTCGAATTGCAAACGCCATTATTGATGGCATTATTGAACGTTTAAATGAAATTTTTCGTACTAATGTTCATGTAAAAATCTACCTGTGTATACATATGTACTCGTTCCTGCATTGGCTGCACATCATTGCCCTGGGCAACCTAATAGTGACAACGGTGGACGATTCCTGTGCAATGTGTGTCAATATGACCAACTCTGGTCTCCATCAGGGGAATGAGCGCAATTAGAAGACCGTTATCACCCCAAAACAGGAAGTGCCTGAACAAGGACCTTCAGGGCAGATCACAAGGCTCTTTTTTATGAAAATGCATACTTGAAGACATCGAAAGCAAATTTTAATATTATATGAACATTTTTGAACTTATATGAGATATTAGTGATTCAGTTTATATATAAATATTGTGGTATTGTGTGGCAATCGGTAGAATTGGGTGTTATGATCACCCAGGTTTCTCAGTCAGATAGGCTGAGAGGTGTCAGGATTCCGCTTGGGATCCTGGAACGGGGAGGTTTCAAAGTGATTCAGGAGGGAAGAAAGTTCCAGTCCAGGGTTTAGCAGTGACCAGCACCCAATGAATGCACAGGTGTTCACAGTCCATAAAGAAAGGGTGCTGGCTAGCTTCTGCTGGGACATAGGAAAAGACGGTGTTCAGGTGGAAGGAAGACCGCCTCAGAAATCAGAGAGGAGTCAGGTGAGCTCTTGCTAGGAAATAGGAACATACAGTGTTCAGAAGTCAGGAGGAATCCCCCGGAAGTTAAAGTGGAGTCAGGTGGTGTGTGTGTTGGAGACACACAAAGACAGCCAGGAAGGCTGGGAGAACTGGTGAGGCTAGGAGAGCTGGCAGTGCGAAACAGCACTACAAATAGGACTGGTGGGTCAGAATTATTAATGTTGAGAGTGGAAGCCAGGAAGCTATACTTGTACTGTGTTGCAAGCAGTACATAGATGTTGTACGGAACACCCTTCGAGGGTATCCAAGGTGGATGTATGAACCTTTGTTTAAATAAAAGTGGGCAAAAAAAACCTTAAACAGAAGATATTGCATTGACTGCATCCTTAAAGCGTTCACCATATGTGCTAATATCCCCAAATATCACAATACTTTAATGTGAGAGTAACAGGGTGGATTAGCACAAAGGTTAGTGTTAGGGTAACAGTGAGGGTCAATATGAGGGTCACAGGAGTGTTAGAGTTTGGGTTACAATGAATGTTAAAGAGACAGTGTTTTTCTTTTGCATGAATGATTTTGTTGACTACTTTTGTAAGAGTCAATTCCCTAGCACAAAAAGATGAAGTTACTGCAAATATATTGCAGGAAGGAATGTTTAAAAAAGGTGAACTTGGGCTTGGAATACTTTTTTTTCGATAATATTTCTATAATCAGCTTGCAGTTTGTGTAGTGACGCATCTCCTCCCATATGAATTTACAGATCAGTTTGAACGTCTCCATCATTGTTTGAAAAGCTGGTGGTTTTAATTTCCACGGTGGAATTCTGTACATTCATTTTCCATATGAGTAAGCTGATATTTCCTTTATTGACCTGCTTTGGCTTTTTAAGAGGCTTATCTTTAGATATCTCTATAACCAGCTGTATTGCTGATGCTGCAGTTGTTTTTATGCCGCTCTCGTTAATATGCAAGCATCTGGAGTATTAGGGCAAATTAAACAGCTATGATTATAGAAATGTGGCCTAAACATGAAATAATTATTAATTACTACCTCGCTAGGTTGATGGAATTATTGCTCTCTATTCCTGAGTAAATGTAGCAAATAAAGCAGCAAATTATTCATTTACGGAGTACATTATCTATACACGCTTATAAAAGAAGACCCTAGAGAGGTAGAGCTCTTGTTTTCAAAGTGACAACTAACAGTTGGGGAAACTAATTCTCAAAATGGGTGAATTTAAGGAGTTTGAACATGAACAAGTGGATGTTGCAGTCTGTAGAAAATCACAAAGTACATGAATTTAGACAGTAAAAGCGAACCAATAACAATTGGGTGTCTGAAAGAATATTTAGTCTTAAACCAAAATGCTCTATTATACTTACCACTCCAGTGGCTTGTGTTTCCTATCCTTGCTCCTTTTCAGCTCTACCTCCATCAGACACTTCAGCATTTGACACCTCCAGAATACTGAAGTGATGTTGGGGTCCCCCTTTACCCTATAGAAGTTATGTTGTGTAACTGTAGAAGCCAAACAATCAGACAAGTGGTAACGTGCAATTTGGTGTATACTAAAGAAATGGAAGTTGCACATAAATTGTACAGGGAAAGAAATACTAACAATGGGTAAGCATTTAAGCAAA